ATTGATGCCAAAATGAACATGGGCCGACAGCGTGGGGATGCAGTCAGGAAGCCTAACTGCACCTTGTCATGCATCCGCAGATGCATCTCAAGCAGGTCCAAGCAGGTGATCCTCCCCCTCTATACGACACTGGTCAGGCCGCAGTTGGAGTACTGTGTCCAGTTCTGGGTGCCACACTTCAGGAGGGATATGGACAACATGGACAGGGTCCAGAGGAGGGCCACTTGCATGATTAGGGGGCAGCAGGGCAGGCCCTACGAGGAGAGGCTAAGGGACCTGAACCTGTTCAGCCTCCACAAGAGAAGGCTGAGGGGGGATCTAGCGGCCGTTTACAAACTAGTCAGGGGGGACCAGCAGGCACTGGGGGAGTCCCTGTTCCCCCGAGCACTCCCAGGAGTGACAAGAAATAACGGTCACAAGCTGGCAGAGGGTAGATTCAGGCTAGATATCAGGAGGCACTACTTCACTGTCAGGGTGGCTAGGATCTGGAACCAACTTCCAAGAAAAGTGGTGCTGGCTCCTACCCTGGGAGTCTTTAAAAGAAGGCTGGATGAACACCTTGCTGGGGTTTTTTGACCTAGTACTCTTTCCTACCATGGCAGGGGGGTGGATTTGATGATCTGCTCAGGTCCCTTCTGACCCTACCAACTATGAAACTATGAGTAAAATGATGGCTAGATCAGATTCAACCTTACTCTTCTTGAATAATTTATTTTAATCAGGTTCAGGATCACCCTTGAAACAATATTAATAAGCCGATTATTTTAGCACCATGCCTAAGCTGTCCAGCCTCATTGCATTCATTGCCATAAATGTCACTCAAATTAATAATAGGAGAGCTTTTTATTTATTTATTTTTACATCAGAAAACATTCTCTTCTAGGCAGTTATCTATTTCCTCTTATTGTATTTGGGCTTTGGTCCATGACATGCATGTTGAGTGTTGCCACCCATCCCCCCAACAGTCACAGAACTATTGAATGTTCCTTTAAACAAATTACAAATATTGCTTACTTAAATGCACGAGTAAGCATGGTGTAGCAGGAATTAGAGAAATGTGTTTATTCTTCTCCCTCTAGGGGCAGGAACTGTAATGAATAATGAGATTAAATGCACAAAGTTCATTATTTGTCATCTAGGCTAATGACAGAAGTTACACATAAATGGGTTTAAGTGATCAGAAACTGTTTTAAACCTGTAACAGAATAGAAGTTCGGTGCACATATGCCAGTTTCAAAATGGCTGAAACTGGCTTAAGATAAAACTGGTAGCATCAGACTTAAATGATTTAGGTCAAACCAGTTTATGAAACTTCTGTCCCAGACCCATTCCTGGTTCAAGTTAAATCAGAGTCCCCCAGCATCCCAGGATTTTGCAGCCCTGGGCTGGGCTGGGCTGGGCTGTCTGCCAGCCCCACCTCTCTACTCCCTAGCAGGAGCAGTGAGGGACGGCTCACTGGCGACCCCAGACAAACCGCTGCTGGAGTCTAGGACCAAGGACAAAGGTTAAATTTTCCTTCCCCCAAGTATGGAGCTGCCCTGCTCTGCTTAATGCTGGCTGTGACTGTAGACTACAAATCCCAGAGGTACCTGGAAGCAGGAAGAGCAAGAGACAAGTCACCTTGCAGAGTCCTACTACTGTGAGTCTGGACAGCAAATCCCAGAGACCTTTGGGGCAGCAGGAAGAGGAAGCAAACACAAAGCCCATGCTGGCTATGTGCCAGAAAGCTGTGCTCCAGTGCTCCCTGGCTTCTAGCTTGCATCACTACAGGCATGTGGCTGCATTTCCTGAATCACAAGTGAATGTCTGTTCATTTGCTTATTGGTTCAATCTTTGCACCTTAGACTAACCTGCAAAAACTGAATCAATTCAGCTTTGGGCTTTCTGACTGTCTGTACTTAGCCTCTACGACAGTTTGGCTTTTCTATCAGAGGAAAGAACAAATAACATGAACCCAATTTTATAATGGGAATGTACCTGTAATAGCCTTCTGAACTGCATTTCTTGATTCCTTTTATCATCTCCTGATGGGTGATTTTAAACTCACTTCCTGGATAGAGAAGAGTGGCCATAACAGCAGCTTTGGAATGAGTATGGATTACAGCACTTGCTCCTAGAGGGAGAAGAATAAACACAGTTTTCTATAATTCATGCTAAACTATAGCTCTCTACTGTATATTAAGAAGCTTATTTTCATATATTCAATTTATTTCTGTTGGGTAAACTTACTTGCAAAGGATAAATGTTCAGATATATAGAGAAGTAAAAGATATGATAAAAGAAAGTAATTAGTGGAATTACTTCCTCTTTAACAATTTCTTTGCATCCATTTTTCTGAGCAGGGACCCGATCATCCCCTCAACCGGGATTCCCAACAGACCCAGGGGGGGCGCAGCCAGGCCCAGGGTCAGTGAGGACCTAGTCAGGGAACTTCTAGTGGGACTAGACATGTTCAAATCAGCAGGTCCTGATGATCTCCACCCTACAGTGTTGAGGGAAATAGCAGAGGTCATTGTGGGACCCCTGGCACAGCTTTATGAGCACTCGTGGTGCTCTGGCGAGGTGCCAGAGACTGGAAAAGGGCCAATGTGATCCCCATGTTCAAAAAAGGGAGGAAGGGGGACCCAGGAAACTATAGGCCTGTTAGTTTTACCTCGGTCCTGGGGAAGCTCTTTGAGAAAATTATCCAGGAGCACATCTGCGAGGGACCAACAGGGGAGATTACGCTTAGGGGCAACCAACATGGGTTCATTAGAGGCAGGTCCTGTCAGACCAACCTGGTGGCCTTCTATGACCAGGTCACAAAATCCTTGGATGCAGGTGTTGCGGTGGACGTAGTCTTTCTGGACTTTAAGAAGGCCTTCGACACTGTCTCTCACCCCATTCTCATTAAAAAAATTAGGTGACTGTGGTGTCGATGCCTACACAGTCAGATGGATTGCAAATTGGCTGGAGGGCTGCACCCAGAAAGTAGTGGTGGACAGGTCACTTTTAACCTGGAGGGATGTGGGCAGTGGGGTTCCCCAGGGCTTGGTCCTCAGGCCCGCATTGTTAAACATCTTCATCAGTGACTTGGACGAGGGGGTGAAAAGCACCTTGTTCAAATTCGTGGATGACACTAAGATGTGGGGAGAAGTGGGCACACTAGAGAGGAGCACCCTGCAACTAGATCTGGACAGGTTACAGGGGTGGGCGGACAAGAATAAGATGGGATTCAATACTGACGAGTGCAAGGTGATGCACCCGGGGAGGAAGAACCAGCACCATGCCTACAGGCTGGGGAACTCTCTTTTCATCAGCACAGAGGCAGAAAAGGATCTTGGAGTCAGTATTGATTCCAAGATGAATGTGGGCCGCCAATGTAAGGACGCGGTCAGGAAGGCTAACTGCACCTTGTCATACATCTACAGATGCATCACGAGCAGGTCCAAGAAGGTGATCCTCCCCCTCTATGTGACACTGGTCAGGCTGCAGTTGGAGTACTGCGTCCAGTTCTGGGTGCTGCACTTCAGGAGGGATGTGGCCAGCATCGAGAGGATCCAGAGGAGAGCCACTTGCATGATCAGGGGACAGCAAGGCAGGCCCTACAAGGAGAGGCTACGGGACCTGAACCTGTTCAGCCTCCACAAGAGAAGGCTGAGAGGATCTGGTGGCCATCTATAAACTGGCCAAGGGGGACCAGTAGGCAATGGGAGAGTCCCTGTTCCCCTAAGCACTACCAGGAGTAACAAGGAATAACGGCCATAAGTTGACTGAGAGTAGATTCAGGCTCGATATCAGGAGGCACTACTTCAGTCAGGGCGGCTAGGATCTGGAACCACCTTCTAACGGAAGTGGTGCTCGCTTCTACCCTGGAGCTCTTCAGAAGGAGGCTAGATAGTCACCTAGCCTCCTTTTGAGTAGATTCATCTACTCATATTTCCCTATGTCTTAGGGTTACTGAAACAATGCAATTACTTTATTAAACTACTGGGTTTCCAAAGAAGTCCAAAATACACTTATCTATGGCAGAAGACTGCAAAGAAGCTTCAGAAGGGGCAAAGAGTTTATTTGTTGTTTACCTCTTATAGTGTAGGCATTCATGAAGAGAGGGGTGCACTGGCTTTTCTTTAGTTTCTTCTGTGGTGGAGGCACACTAATGTCCCGTTCTTCTATGTCACAAACAAACAGATCTTCTGGCTGAGGAATAGGTGGAAGTAGTTAAGCACTGTGACACCTGTCCATCAAACAGACTTGCTTTTATTTTGGGGAGATGCACAATACATTTAATAAAAAAACCTGTGTGCGTTTTGCCTGTGATGGTGCTGTAATGCACTACTTCAAAACATTATTATTCATTCATTCCAGGCTCTGCTATATTTATTCTCATTGTCTTGTAAAACAAACGAGGAAATGCTAATACATATCCTCCTTATTATAATGATATTAAATAAATATTCTCCAATCTAAAATCTGACTGGGATGAGGAAGAAACCCATATGCAAAGAAGGTAGCTCTGGTAGAAAAAAAAAAAGGAAGCAACTGACTCAAACAGATACCTGTATATTTTTTGTCCATTTCTGTGATATTTTGCAAAAACTGGCCACATCCATGAAATCTACCTCTAAATTTCACTTCCCTTCTAAATAAAAAAGATTTATTTATGTTTGCTTTTAGCTGATTAACGTAAACAATACTTTTCAAGAATCAACGGTTCTTGAAAATAAGTCTTTGTGAGAATCAATGGTCCTTGAAAAAAGTCTTTTTGATATTAGCTACAAAAAGCCATTTACCTTTAAAATTAAGATTCATTGTGCATGTCATTTGCTAAAACAAGTACTAAATGTGCATGTCATTTTTTCTTTCCTTTGATAAAAAAGCTAAACTGTCTTAGGGGCTAAGTAGACAAAAACCTTGAGGCTGAATTGATTCAGTCTTTGCATGTTAGTTGCTTCCTACCTTAACTACATTCTTTGCATATAGGTTTCTTCTCCATCCCAGTCAGATTTTAGATTGGAGAATATCTATTTAACATCATTCTAATGACTAAATGACTGTGCAGTACTCAGTGGTACTGTGCAGTAGGGTCATTTTTGACCCTACTACACAGTAGCTCATTGCTATTGTGCAGTAGTTGCAGTATCACAGTTAGTGCCTGCCGATGCTCTGTTGCTGTAGTGACAGGTTACATTGCCATAGCTTGTCACTACGGCGATGTAGCATCTTGTTAAATGCGGGCACTCAGTCCAGCCCACTAACTACACACAAAGAATTATAGAATAACAAGACTAGAAGGAAACTCAGATCAGCTAGTCCAAAGCCCAGCTCAAGGCAGGATCATCCATGTGTAAGCCATCCCAGGCAAACGTTTGTCTACCCTGCACTTAAAACTTCCATTCATAGGAGTTCTACAATCTTTAGAGATAAATATTTCCAATGTTTAACCACCATCATAATTAGGAAGTTTTCTAATATTTAACCTAAAATCTCCCTTGTTGCAATTTAAGACCATTACTTTGTGTCCCATTGCTTGAGAACACATGAAAAAAACATTGATTGCTATCCTTTTTACAATAACCTCTTTAGTAACAAGACTGTTATTAAATCTCTCCCTTTTGTCATCTCTTCTTCAGATGAAATAATCCCAATTTCTCCAACCTTTCCTTATTTGCCATGTTTTCTAAAGTTCAAATAAATGTTGTAACTCTCCTATTGATTCTTTCTAATTTGTCCTTAATTTTCTTGAAACTGTGTTCTAAACTACACACAGAACTGCAGGTGAGGTCTCACCATGCTCAATGAAGGGGGAGAATCACTTCCTAGGACTTGAATGGTAATTCATCTCAGTAGGCTAGTAATTTTTCTTTTGTAACAATACTTTTTTTTTTGGTAACTTTGATTTATATTCAGTTTATGGTCCACTAGACCCCGCCAGATCCATTTCTGTAGCACTTCAGTCTACCTAACTGTTCACCATTTTGCACTCATGCATTTGATTGTTCCTTCATAACTGTTGTGTGCTTTATGCTGGTCCTAACTAAATTGTATCCAGTTTATTTTAGAATATTTTCCCAATTTAGAACAATGAATCCTAATTTTGTCCTTTGAACTGTTTGCGACTGCACCCAGTTTGGTGTTACCAGCAAACTTACTAACTGTATATTCATCTTTCTGAGTCATTAATGAAGATAATGAACAGTATGGACCCAATACAGACTCCCATTTGATGCCTACTCTCAAGCTAGATACCTAGCCACTGAACTTTATGATGCATCTTGCCACAGTTTTCCACCTTTTGCTTCTTCTGTCTTCTTTTTGTGTCTCTATACATTTGACCATTTTGTTACACATGCTTCTGTTTGTTTATTGTATACGTGCCTTCAAGCAGCAGGCACTGCAGTAGGCGTTGCATAGTCTGAGGCTCTGTGTTGCAGTCACAGGTGGTTGAACCAATGGTATAGCCCCACTTCTTCATTTGTTCCTTGGAGCAGCTGACTGGTACATAGGCAGCTGAAACACTGCCACCTTTTCCATGGTTTATCAGCCCCTATTGGTAAGGACTCAGCTGCTGGAATGATCATTGGTTCAGTCAGGTATTTTCTTCAGGCCTCTTGTTCCACATCTATAGTCATGTCTCCTTGGGTGTGGCATTGAGAGGTTAGCTGCTGCGTGACTGCAGACATTTTTGTGCTGTGCGATGGTCATACAGTGGGCGCCTCAAATCTTCAGTCTGTCTTGCTCGTTCTATCCTGATGGCTACTGTTCTTCTGATGTCAGGTGGAGCAATGCCAGCCAGCAGATATACACTGTTTAGGCTTGTAGGCTTCACACATCCTGTGATACATCAGCAGCCATCTTTCAGAATGGGGTCAAGGAGCTTAGCATGTATGATCTCTCCCATACAGGGCACGCACACTTGGCAGTGGAGAAACTGAGAGCCAGAGCAGTGGTTCAGATGGCTGAGGGACTAGCTCCTCATTTCAGGCTGGTCAAGCCAGTGCTTTGAGCTGTTATGTATAGGGTGTTTCCACAGATTAAATGTTTTGTTTCCAAATCGAGTTTTTCGTCAGTTATATAGATGTTATATAACACTGATGCAAGTATGCCTTCTTGGGGGAGGCCATTAATCTGTTGCCTCAATCTGTTTTGCTTCCCATCCAGTTTGACAAAAAAACCCATCTGTATTCAAGCAGGGCTTGTGTCAGCTCTGTAAGGTGTAGATATTTTGTCATTTCCAGGGCTCTGTGGAGGAGTTGTTAGTGGTTAACTGTATCATAGGCAGCTATTAAGTTGACAAACGCAGCTCTGGTGATTTGGCCTCTTTCAAAGCTACCCTCAGTATGTTAAGCCAGATTGAGTAGCTGGCTTATTGTTTATTTTTCCAGGGCAAAAAACAACCTGTTTGGGGATTAGGTACTTACCTACGTATGGGGCAAACCAGTGCAGTATCAGTTTATGTGTGTGTGACAGAACACCCTTTTGGGTGTCTGTCAGTTTAAGGGCTAGAGCAGGGAGCTGCCAGGTGGCTGATATGAGTAGCCATTTTGGGAGAGCAGACATTTTAGAGAGCTCTGTTATAAAAGCAGAGCAGTTTGTGTTCCCCAGGATCTGTGAGTAACATTGCACAGCGGAGCTCCTGTTCCAGGAATATCTTGGAGGTAAGGGTGAGGCTATGGGGAAGGGGGAATGCTCAGTGGTCCTAGGCATAACCTAAAACTACATCCTGCTGGAATAGGGAGGCCTGGTGGTCCTGCCTGTGGCAGGGCAGGGCCAATCAAATACCAGGACTGAGAACATACCTGGTGTAAGGCGGGTCGGGGCGCCTAAATCCCTGCCCTTGCCTTTGGGTGGGTTACCAGGGGAGAGGGGGCCAGATAAGCTTATTGAGAAGCATCTGAGTCTTATGCAGTGTTGGACCCTGGAGTGGGGGGCAGGCACACTGAATGAGCAGCAGCTGAGCCCAAGGAGATGTAAGACCCTGGGCCCTGAGAGTTTCAGGGTCCAGTTGTGGGGCCAGTTAACCTCTGGGAGTAGCAGCTGAGCCCTAGAGGGTGGAAGACCCCAGGCCCTACGGAAAAAGGGTGGAGTTGTGGCCTGAGGGGCGTAGGGGTCCAGTGAGGGGCCAGGGTCAAAGCAGGCCCATAGTTGAGTAATTGCTTAGTTCTGTTCAGGTGAGGGTCATGGGAGAGGCCCAAAAGACCACATCAGGGCTGGCTGAGGGGTGTAGAGAAGCCTGAGGATCTCCAAGGAGTAGAGCAGAGTGAGTGTTGCCTGGATAGGCAGTATGCAAGAGACTGAGTGAGAGCCAATACAGTGTGAGAGGCCCCGGTGAGAGGGGGGTGGTGTGTGTGTGGCCCTAAAGCAGGCAGTGTGCTAAAGATACAACTATGTGCCCAGTTTGGCCCAGCCTTGAGCTGAAGTATCATCACACAGTGAGGCATCAGCGAGGCATGGGACGCATGTAGGGATGGTAGGAACATGTACTTACTGCCCACAGTCATTTGGGCACACAAAGGGCAGCCTCCCATCTATTTAACATCACAATTAGTTATCAATCAGGTGTGGCAGGTGAGCAAGGTGGGTGGTTTGCCCAGAGACAAGGACGGGGCCATATTAATACTGGACCTGAAAGGCACCTTTTGTCATAGTGTGGCATAGCAGAGAGAGAGGTCTGAAGCTCTTTGGATCAGCTGGATCTTTCCCTGTCTTTAGAAGTGCCACTATCTGAGCATGCTGCCATATCTTTGGAATTTTTTGACTAGCTGTGCATGAGTTGTATACACAAAGGAGCCATTCTTGAGTCTGGGGGCTGAATTGCTTGATTTGTTCAGTACGTATGTTGTATATGCTGGCTGCTTTCCCAGTCTTCACTGCATTGATACCAGCATTCAGCTCCGTCATTGAGAAGGGGCTTGTAAAACCCAGGTCTTTAGAGTACTTGTATCTTTCCAGTCTGAGTTTTTTTTTTTTGTTTTTGTTTTTTGTGCTTTTTCCATTGAGAAGCATATGGTGAACAATTTGGTTAGAGGTGACATTATGATGTTGATATACCTTTCATGGGTTGTTGCTTAGTTTATGTATAGTAACCCATACCTTTGAACTATTATGTATTATATCATTTGACTCGATCAGAGTCTGCCAGGATTTCCCGAGTTTTTCTGTGATGGTTAACATGAGCTCGCCTGTAGTGATGGTGTTTGCTGAAAAAGGGTCTAGCTCATACTGTCATCTGTAGTCTTTGTATAAGCCAGTGGTTTGAGGAGTGAGGCCTGGGATGTAATTCATGTGACAGGCAGCCCCATGGGATGTTCTTCCTTGCAGATTTCTGTACAGCTTTCATGAACCAGTCACAGTTCTCAGGCAATGCTTTGATGGTTTTGACATCAAGGTATTCTAAAAAGGCTTTCCAGTTTGCCTTTTTAAGGTTGAAACATCAGCAAAATGACACTGTTATAGGTGTTACTGTGCTTTGATCTGAATCCAGAATGCCAATTGGTTGATGTTGGGAATGTGGGATAGGGTCTAATACCATTTTATTACCTAGTTCAGTAACGGTCTTGCTGGTGAATATAAGGTCAGGGTTGTATCACTGTTTCCAGCAGCCGCTGTCAAATGATTTGGGTAGCTTTGGGTCATGGATTAAACTACTTTGGTATGCATTCAACCAAGCTTCTATTGCTTTGTCATCTTTATTAGTCTCATCGTAGCCTCATTGTATGGCGTGGCTGTTAAACTCACCAATAATCACCCATGGTTTATTGCGAGTGATCACTTGTTAGGTGGTTTGTAGACTGAAATCTTTGATTCTGTTGAGTTTGATGGTCAGAATTTGAATGTTGTTTCTTCAGTCTTTTTGCTGTAGAAATTATGTTGGTTCCAGTTTTAACCAATATGGCACTTCCAAACTGTCTGTGTGGTTTTTCAATCACCATAGTAATTCCAGGTACTGAAGACAATTATTATGAGGCCCATCGTGCATCTCTTGTAAACACAAGACACTGCACTGAACTTTTACATAGATTTACAATCAGTTCTTCTTTGCCATTGAAAACCCTTCAAGGTATGTAGGGCCCTAAACACAGCTCGTGTCTTTGGTCACAAGCTATTATGATTGGATATAGCTGGTAAATTTGTAGAATCAAAATTGTGGTTTGGAGTGTTAGCAGGATTCACAGATATTACCTGACGGGGTCACAACGTGAATTCTTCTGCTATGGCCCCCTTTTCTTCTGTAATCACATTTAATGATAATATGGTTATCATCATTATGTGGAAATCCAAGTCTCAAAACAGCAAAAAGATTGTTATCTCAGATCTGTGGAACAGTGAATCCTGCTCCACATTGTTTCTGTACTGGAGGAGTTCCCAATGCCATAAATCAGTTGGCAATATATACTTCTCTTCACCAAGAATACTTGTTTTTGGAAAGAGAGGAATGGAAATAAGACCTTCCCATGCCAGGATAACCTTGGCCTATCTGCCTACATGAAAGATGAAGACAAATGACTTACACATATAAAATGATTTAGAACAGAGGCTTTAATACATAATTATAGGCAAGCAAAGATGCATGAAATCTGTATTAAACCAGGAAAATGCTGAGTTGAAAAACAAACCTAATGTTGGACTAGATTTCAGATCTCTGTCTGGGCTAGTTGACGACAAGAATAATAATCAACAGGACTAACCTATGTAGGGCACTGAAACAAGTACTGCATTGTCACTTTAAGAACATGTAAATACTAACTGGGTTCATCTACATGAGACGCTAATGGCACAGTAGACTAATTCTACTGTGCATTAGCGTGACACAAAAAGAACATGTTAATGTGCTAATGTGCAGTAGAATTAATCTACTGCACATTAGTGTCACTTAAAAAGTGTGGGCTGGCATTAATGTATACTAGTGCTGATTATGGCACATTTAGTCTGTACCTGTTATTACAGGGAGTAAACTAAATGTGCTGTAATTACAGTGTATTAATGTACATGTAGACATGCCCACTGAAATCCAGTGGTCTCATGAGGCTAATCAGTGGTATGTACAATTCAAAACTGCTTTGAAAGAAAGCTCAGAATTAATCATTTAAGATGATTCTGTTCCTGTAACAGCGCAGGATCCTAGGGGTGGCCGTGATCTCCCCTAGTGCCCCTACCATGCCAAGTCAGTGTTAAAGCACCCTCACAATCTCACCCACCACGTCTTTGATGTTCTGTAGTTATGTAGGGAGGCTGCTCTTTGTTCTCTACGGTTCTGCTGGTTCCCCCTGCGGCTTGGTTCTGTAACAGGGTTCTGGGCACCCCAGTCTTATGGGCTACGCGTGGTTCCAATCACCCCTGTACCATGCCCCAAGCCTCGCAGATGTACCGGACTTTGATTGGTCAATTTCACTCTTCATGCCCCACGGGCGCTTCTGGCTTGCCTTGCTACTGTTTTTTCTGGCACTCGTCAATCTCTGCCCCCGCTCTGGGGCTCCTTCGCGCCGCCCGCTCTGGGGCTCTGCCCGCACTGGGGCCTTGGGGCTCAGGTGGCCGTAACTGTGCCTGGCCCCCCCAAATCTGCTCCTCTTCTCAGGACTTGGGTTGATGCACCCCAAATGCTGTGCCCTCTCTGGCGCCAGGGTCCCCACGACACCGTGGAGCCCCTATGAGGCCTCCTCCAACCCCTAATAGCCTCACCTGGTCCTCCGGTGTAACAACATCAAAAACAATAACACAAGCCCCTGGGCTATAACACAAAGCTAAACCTCATGGCTAAACGTTCTCCAAATCACACCACATCTCACCAGTGTAACTAGTGGCTTATACAACCAGGCCTTTTTCTCTTTCCTACATTCAGGGCTGATCTCTTTCCCTTAGTCAGGCAGTACTCTTTCTTCCTGGCTGCCAGCAGAGAGAGGGCACTCACAGCCTCCAGTCTGTGTCTTATAGTAGTCAGCCCTGCCCCTTCTGGTCAGCTGACTCACCAGGTGTGGGCTCCTCCTGGTTGCCCCTAGCAACCAGCACCTGAGCCACTACTCTGGTTTTCCAAGTAGGAGGCACTTAAGTGCCCTGCTACAGTTCCTTTTCAGGAACCAAAGTAAAAACAGCAGTTGTACCCACCTGAATTCTTTCCTTCTGGACTCCTGATGGAGCAATATAGATGTCATCACTAGGGAAAAAGTAGAATATTTTAGCTCCATGTAAAACATACATTTTAAAGGATATGGAATTGTAAGGGTAATGTTAGTATTCTCCCTTGTTAATAATTAACTTGCATAATAATGCAGTAACATTTTTCCTGCCTAACACAAAAAGTTTTCAAAATGCAATTCCTGGCCTTCCTTAGCAGGTGGATGGTTTGAGACTAGCCAACAGATAAACAACCTTCTAAAATTGCCTAGAAATGTCATACTTGGTTTTTGAAAGACATACACTCATGTCCAGCATCTCTCTTCCCACCAACCAAAAATCTAAGACCCTACCCCAATGCATACATAGGTTGTAAAATCCACATTCCTCAAAATGGAACACAGCAGACACTTAGCAATTCAAGAAAAACAGTGAGAAACCTATATTTGACAAATCTTTAAGATTAGCTATTAGTGTTTGTAATTGTCCTTACCATTCTACACTGTAAATACACTTATTGGTAAATACTTTGATCTGTATAACAACATGACCTTAGGTTTCTTAAATGTATGAATTTTTAACTCGTATTGAAAAACATGGCGAATAATTCAGTATAAAAGAACAGTTTTAAGTTTGACTAGAAATGAAGGTTGTGGTGCATGGCTTATGTGGATAAATAACTTGAACAAATCTTTATATGCATTTAGAGTGATTTAAAATGTAATGTGAAACATTTCGAATGAAGGTCATAAGGGTTTCTTGTCATATCTGTAAGAACTGTTCAGCTTCAAAGGACACATTTTAAATAGGTAGTATAGAGACATCTAGTGAATGATTAGTCAAGCTACAGATACCTGTTCAGAACAAAGGCTGGATCAGTTTCATAAGGAAAGTGAAGTATTTGCATTTGTCTAACAAGAGTCAAAGTACTTTCTCTGGTGTATTTTCAATGTAGACAAAACATGTTTTTGTGAAATATAACATGGAGTTTCAACAAATTTTAATTTTGATGCATTAGTACTAATGAAACCAAATTAATTATTTTATACCTTTCTGTGAGCAAGGCACCTAGGAGTTTTGTATCAAGCAATCCAATTATAAATTGATTGCTAGTTAAACAGAATATGCATATACAACCTTCTTCTATAATTAAACAGTTAATGACAAACTGACCATGGCATAGAGTCTCTAAAATGTAAGATCTGACAAACAATTATGGATCTGTTTTACAAACTGTTGTCCTATTCCCAAACAGGTGAATTTATTTTTACAGTTCACAGGATGTCTCTAGTGAACAATGCTCATTAGGATTGGTTGCTTAAGATTAAACCTGGAATTACAGTTGAATGTTGTCACTCACATTCTACCCATCTTGGAATTTTCTAAGCCTCCTTCCTATCTCTTTGGTGCATTGCTATTTGCTTAAGAATGGTTATTGCCATTATAGGTAGAGAAATAACCATGTCATACTTCTGTGCTAGATGAGATGTCTGGGTACACATTCAAATGTACTGTACCATTGTATTTTGTGAGCCAATATATAAATGAATGAACTGCTGATCAGAATCCTAAACTATTTTATAACTGCTCTTACTACGTAATCTCAGATGTAGCCAGCTCCAACCATATAGCAACAAAAGAAAGCACTTCATATTTTGTTACTGATCAGAACTATATTGATCTCTTAACTTCAGACAACTTATAAAAGCAATAATTAATGCCCATAACCTCCCTCTGAAACTACTGTCACTGTTTCGCTGATGGAAAATAAGATGGAGTTGAAATGTAGCCAGGAGCAGATGTAGTCAAGTTTCAGCCTCAGACTTAGAATTTGAAGGCTTGACTTCATACCAGGTGCTTGGACAGCAACATGGCCATGTGGAAGGGTAAGACATCAGGCACTGCAAAGTGTCCAGGGTTTTGCTACTTTGTTGGTTAAGATCAAGTTTATCCTGCTTCTGTGGTTTACTTACTACTGCTATTCTTTTCCTTCAGTAGCCACTAAGAGGAGCTCTACATCCATTAAGATTTTCAAACTAATGCAACTAGAATAGCTGATGGTATATTTCAGGGAAAATGAAAAAGCAGACAAAGGGTACAGACACACATAATTGAACTGTTCCAAAATGTCACTGATTGGGAACCAGTTCACAATTGTGTGAAGTGCTGCAGCTACAACACCAGGGGGCAGGAGTGAGTACCCAGCCCAGCAGGCCTCTCAGCGGGCAAGAAGTGGGAAGGAATACTAGCACCCATACTTTGGGGACTCCATGATGGGTGACCTGTGGCTGGGGACCTTTACACTTTTCTGCTTTCCCTTCGCCCCTAAACATGAGTTTAATAAACTGCAATAGTTTGAAATTGACCAAAAGTGTGCTTGCTTGTCTTGGGCGGATGGGGGTGGGGAATGCTTGGACCCATGCTTTTGGGTTCCCAGGGGCTGATGGGGGCATGATGCTAGGCTGCAGTGAGTAGGGAATAAAGACACAGCTGGCTGTTAGAAAAATAGATTCTATATGACAAGCAGTGCAAGGCAGCTTGTGGATAAAAAGCACCTACAAAGGGAAAGGGGGACAGCAGAGTTCTAGCTGCATACCAAAATAGCCAATTGCAGCAGTGGGTTTGTGGGGGATGAGTAGCAGTGCAGTGGGGGATGCCTAGAGGACTGACCAGGCCTATGTCACAGACCACTTGATGTCCACACACAACACTGAATCAGTTCAGATTGAACTGTTTCAAAAAAAGCACTTCATATTCCAGGTACATTTTTCAACTGTTCCAGGTGGACTGAAATCAGTTTAACAGGCTTATTATATATGTCTGTCTGCTTCAAGTTTAAACTGCTTTTAAATTGTTTTAAGCGTTGTGTGTGTCTATCCCCAAAGCAGTACTCTTTAGCATTGCATATGCATCAATATTATTTTTACCATGTTTTTGTGTTGCTATCCTGATTGTATTACCTGCTGTGGATACACTTTTAGGAGTTATCCTACAAGAATACAGACTTCCTTCTTAGGCACCAAGAATGTCACACCTGCAACACGCCTAAACATATAATGCCTTACTGTTGACTATTAGCCATCCTTCGTGGAACTGTAATGAATAAAAACAATTCATCATTTGCACTAGCACTCTTCAAACCTGCATACTTACCCATGTTTCAAGCTGATTCCTCCCCCAGTTCCTGTGACCCAGCCTAATTGATAGAACTGTCTACAGAGGTCTGGAATTAGATTTCTTGGATGCAACTTGTCCTAAAACACACAAAACCACACAATTAAGTGTCTACTTCAGAATCCAAAATATCAAGGGTGTCAAATCTATAGCTGGTGGGCTAGATTTGATCTGTAAGTTTTGGATCAGCCCTGCACACTGCATATGGTACATGCTGGCCCTAGTTCCATGCACTGCAAGTGGTGTGTGTAACTGGTCTGGCATGGACACCTCATGTAGCATAAGCTCCTTGATGGCTATGTGTGTGAGCCCCAGACTGGAGCTGACGTGTGCTGCACATGGCACACAGGGCTGATGTGCACTGCATGAGGTACCTACTCCAGACCATCCGTGTGTGCTGGCTTTGGTGAGTGAGACAGGTCTATGAGCCCAGTCCTGTCTGCACAGTGGCCCCAAGCCCCTCATCTGGTGTGTGGGGTTGGATGATTTTTACATCCCTGCATTATATAAAAAGATTCTTTTTAGTTATAGAAAAAAATTGCAACAGCATAAGCCCAGTTACTCTGGGCACTTCATCTGTGTTACTCTAGGCATTTAAAAAGCATGAAATCAGAAAATCAGGTGAGCCTTTGGAGGCAAAGGGCTTGATCCGAAGACCGCTGAAGTCAGCGGGCCATCTATCAGGCCCATCTATATTGATATTAAAAAAAAAAAAAAGATTAAGCCAGCCCATCACCTTTCCCCATACTGAATCAGTCATAATTGCAAGGTATCACCCATTTTGAGTCTATTTCCTCTACTATGCTTTAAATAAATTTTCCTTCCTTGGGTTTGCTTCTTCAAACATTGAAGACCAAGCTACAAAGGCTAATGCCCATTTCAAGAGAATCTACTCTGATTTAACCATTACCTAGAAAGAAGAGTTACCATTTAATGCACAAGAATATGCATATAACTGTCCATCATCTCTAGATTATTTTTGGCATGCTTTTAAAAGTACAAATAATAGATTCTAGCTCTAACAAGCCTTGGAAAGCTCAGGACTTTAATTATTTTTAATCATTTTCCAAAGGCCTACTTTCCTAATTAGGAACTTTGCTATGAAATATCAATTATGACTATATTGCGAGACATAATTACTATAATTATGGCCATATATGGATCACATTGTGTAAGCATTAGAACTGTTTCATTTTCTTGTGAATTAGCATGCAAATAATAACTTCCAAAGAAGAAGGTTCACTTCACCCAATTATTTCAGTGGCTTCACATTTATCCATTTTTAGCATTAGATTTCCTCACATTTTTAGTTAGCATCAATATTGTCCCACTGGAATATTTCTTTAAGAGAAAAACATTTTTCATTTTATGAGTGATTGTTAATCTTGTTTTTATTGTCATATTGTATTGTATTTATTGTACATGTATCTAGTTCCCAAGGGGGCTGACTGTCGCACACAAACTTATAGTTCATCTAAGACAGAATATTTCAGATTTCCTTAATGGTCCAAAAACACAATTATTTATTCAACTTCTTAAACGCAGGGCCCTTTTAGCATGATGTACAGTTAAAAAATGGAAGAAACGTAAGAAGTTGCAGCATCTGCTGGGTAAATATCACTGTGTATCCAATGTTAGGGAAGCTGATGAAACCATAACTTGTTAGAATTTAAAATGGTTTCAATATTTTATTTAGCACCTCTCATGCAGCCTCATGTTCTTGGGTGCAGATCAGCAATTTATTTGCAAACAGTAAAATGCATATTTATACAAAGATGCAAATAACCACATCATATAATCCTTTTCATAAACTGATCAAGCCTGAATCAATACTTCAATCTTGAACTTGCAATGCAGTAACACGTTCTTCAATGCACTTGTTTCTTAAGCATCTACATTTGAAGAGTTGGCTTCAACTTCAGAGGGTATTGCTATTGTTCCAATTTGGCTATTGTTCCTCATATAGTCCTTTTCATAAAGAACCAATTTTAGTTAATTTTGGATGCTGTACACAAAGTTGTGATTGGAATTCTGAAAACCACTGGTCTAGAAGCTTTTTTTTTATAAAGCACAGTCTGTCAATATAAAACAGCAATCTCTTCTTGGAGCTCACAGAAATTTGTGATACTTTTCTTTGCAATTTGGAGTGTGTGTAAAAACTAGGCTAAAATGACGACAGCAGGAAAGGCATGAGAAAGAGTTGGATTGCCTATGCCAACTGAGTGAGAAAATTAATGTGCCAGATCTTCTGCTGGTGCAACTCAGTGTAATTGTCCCTGCTTCAGTAGAACTATGCTGATTTACATGAACTGAAGAGTTGCTCCAGTGTGCATTTGCATGACATCTGCCAGACCACAGAAAATGAAGAATGTTAAATTGTAGCTGTTAATAGGAATCTCATATAAAATTCATTTTAAAACTAACTTCTAATTTGGCCCTTGATGGCATCTTAGATTTTTTAACTAATTTAATTTTAATGGCTTATTTTTCACCACTGTAAAAATAAATGCTTAGGCATTTCCAGCATGGACTCCTTTGGATAAAATGCACTTTAGTTCTGCTTGAATTAAATATCTATAATCTTCTGCAGTTTCTGTTGTGCATTTTAGCAAGCAGTTTCTTTTACCTTGTCTTGTTTTACATGACAGGGAAACAGATCCAGTAATGTTTTCAAAAGAACATTAGAAATGAGAACATAAGAAATGAGAGGTACAGTGGTTTCTGTGTTTAGATTTAAAGTGGCTGTACAAATGACAGCTAGTCTAGATTTATCAAAGAATAATCCTGGAATGTGTGCTCAATTGCCAACTGTTTTATACATACATTAATAGCTGTGGTTCTTATGGAGAGTTTCAATTTTTATGAGAAGGACGATAACCATGTAAACATGGAACATAGCACTTGTTTGTTTAAATAGCTTGATGCTAATGTTGATCATGGAAACATATGGAGTGTGTTTTGCAATTCTGAAATTCTTTGCAAAGTTATTGGGAACTCTTTAATGTTTTTGATTTTCCTTTTCTTTTTAAATGAAGTCTGTTGAAAGTGCATGTTTTTTAAAACTCCTGGCAATTTTTTTTACAATGCTGGACAAAATAAATAAAACAGCTTTGTGCATTTTTGTAAGTCTCTGCAAAACAGAGAGAATCTGCAACAGCTAAAAATAAAGTGATCATTCATAATTTAAACATCCATGTAAACGTCTATTAAATAACAGACTTTTATGGACATATGTATGATGATTATTTAATAAGAGTGTATACCATCAAATATATAAAGGGAGATATTTTATTTGAAAATAAAAATACAAATACTACAGTAGATCAGTTACTTCTAATAGTTTTATATTGAAACTCAAAATTGAAATTGTTCTGAGGATTGGGCTTGCCAGCAGAATTTGGTAGAATTATCAAAATTAAATGTGACCATAATTTTTACATACAGTAAAGTAGTGAACAACAAAACTAGGGTTCAGATGCTGAACTCATAGAAGCGCTTGCTTTTTATTGGTAAAGCTTTATTGGTAGAGCACTCAAGTCTTTTCAGAATCATGGTATAGTTGGAAGAATGAGTATTTGGGAACTATACTTGTCTCATTTATCAAAATATACTTAGTAGAACATTTCCAATCAGAGCAAAAACAGAAAGGCAGCCTTTATAAGCTACATGAATCTAATGGATATTACAATTAAAGTTTTAAGGAATCTTTAGCCTTGAGTTTCCTTCACTGAAAGATTTTACCTCTTTAAAAGGGTGATTATTTTACCAGGTTTTAATAGTTACTGTGAAAAGAGAAGAAAATTAATCAGATCTAATACAGTACGATTCATATAGATCCATAATTACAGTGTTTTATTTGCTGTAAGCATGAACTGATACTTCATTACACTGCTGGAAAAAGGATTAGACTTTTATATTTAAAGAGGAAAACCAATGGTTATGGTTAGATCCAAAACTTCATTATGAAAATTTTTCCTTGCATGGAATTGAAAGGAAAAGGACCAAAGCATCTTGCTGCTTTTGTGAAAGAGCCTTTGATTATTAGGTACACAAGATTTCCCTCCCTTCCCCCTTTTGATGAGTGAACTATAGAAAAAGTTTGGACAATCTGTGATAATTTTAATTAAGCCCATTCCTACATCTTTTACAGATCATTTTAAAACCTGGACTATAATGAATCTAGAAAGCTTTTTGGACACTGGGGTAAATGTGCATTAAAGTTATCTTTTAAGGAATATAGTATGTTCTTAGGGACAACTCACATTTCCATTGGAAACGATTATAAAGTGCAAAAATCTAGATATTTTACAGATTAAATGATACAGCTCCTATTTCATACTGATTTGCATTAATCATCACCAGGTTTCTTTAGATAACAACAATACTATAAATTCAATTGCTTTTAAAAGCATCTGTCTCACTGAATAAAAAAACATAAATACATTTTTCCAACATATGATTCCTTGTCCCATACCCAGAAAAGGATAGGTTTTAGTTGCTGCTTTTACCTAACAGTATTTTATGTTAACATTCAAGAATGACAAAATGATTCTACATGTAGAGTTGAATAAACATTCGTTGATGTGTTATGGCACTTAGTTAACTACTTCGTATGCAGGAAACAGGATTGGGAAAGTATGCGGTGTCAAGAAAGATACAACTTTTATTAAATCAGACTGAAAGGAGTTTTAACAAGCTCTCATATTTAAGAAAGTATCATTTAGATTTCTGTATTGCCATAAGTGTTTCCAAAAATTAAACTCTTTTAGGTTAATCACTTTCTCTTGCAGCCATGTAGACTTTAATCCTGTTGGATGTTGGTTTGGGCAGATCAAAATTTGACAAGTAAACTCTAATCACAACACAACTGCTACAGATTCACAGTTCAGAGGGTGAATGCTGCTCCTGAGCTGCATACCAAATCAGACTCCCAGTTGGACATTAAGAATCTCAGTGCTGCTGGCACAGCTATTTTTCAGATAAAATGTAAAGCAGAACTCCCAATTAAAGATACTCTTGCCATTTTTAGAAGAAAAGGAACCTCAGCCCTAATGCCCTTGCCCAATTCCAGCCCAGGCAATTATCCTGTTCTTATACAATTGCCATGTGTCTGGTTTTCAGTGTGGGAATCAGAGGGCTTTTCCTGGAGTCCAGATGGACATGTGTTCCAGAAGCACATTTCCTGAAATAGGACTTTCATGCTCAATTGGGAGTGGACCCCAGGCTTCAGCTTCGGTTGCAGAACTGTCCCAGCTGGAGCTGGCGCTTTGGTTTGTGGGTGGACAACAGTGGTAAACTGGTATCTTCAATGCAAATGCTGGCTCCCAGCACATGAACATGTGAGTAGCACCCTGGCTTTGCTATGGAAAAGTACAGTATTGCTAACCCCACTGGGTCAAAAATCAAGATAAAGTCTTAAAAATCAAGAGTTGGTATGTAAATCACAAGATGCTATTTTTAAGTATAAACCAATATATATTGACTGTTTGTTTATAAATCCCATTAGTCACTTATTTAACTTCTAACAGGTCAGAGCTTTATACAAAAACTATATTACCTTCTGCCTAAATGTCTGCTGAGCTGGACTAAAAATACCCTTTATTGACTGTTGTGGTGTTGAGGCCTCAGCCCAATTTACATGCTTTCTAGTTTCAGGGTGCTTTTTGAGGTCATTTACTCCAGAATTCCTGATACTAATGTCCTCTGAGCAAGCAAGGCAAAATACATGTTCATCTGAAAGTCTGCTTTCTTTTACTGGGTAGGAACTGCTCCAGTTGACATTGTATTTGCACCTGTACTGCTGTAGCTTCATCAGATGTTCTGCCATGACTAACTACTAGGGCTGTGAAACGATTAAAAAAATTTGATGGTGATTAGTTCCGCGATTAAAAAAATTAGACTCACAGACAGTGCCCAGCAGGTAAGTCTGTGGAGAGGAAGGGGCAGAGGGGAGAAGGAAGGGACTTGGGGGGCAGGGGTGCAATCTGAGGTCCCCATGGTGAGGGAGGGAGTGTGGTAGGGGCTGAGGTGAATGGGGCTCTGGGGCCAGGGTGGGTCTTGAGACAGCTGCGGGTGGCTTGTCTAGAGAGGTGCGGCGTGGCATGCAGCTCCCTGCTGCTGCACGGATCCCTGGGTGAGACATGGGGGGCATGTTCCCTCCAGATTTACGTGTGGGGCTGAGATAAGCTGGCCGCTGCAGGCCAGAGCTCTGTGCCCTGCTGCCTTTATCCCAGGAACTGCACACTAGCCGCATGTCCCCTGCCTGCCTGGTGGCAGGAGGCACAACATGGCATACTGCTGTTCCTGGGGCAAAGGCAGCAGGGTGCAGAGCCTCAGCCCACAGCCCGCCTTTTCCCCATGCACAAATTTGGGGGGCACATGCCCCTGATGACTCCCCCAGGGGTGTGCACAGTGGCGGGGAGCTGCGCCCTGCCCTGCACCTCTAGACGAGCTTCCCATGGCTCTCATGTGACCCGCCCCAGCACCCTACTCACCCCAGCCCATTCCACTCCTTACCTCACTGTGGGGGCCTCGATCTGCCCCACCCTCCGGCCCATCCCTCCACCCCACACTTCCCCTCCGAAGACTTACCTGCTGGGCACTGCTCTACATGCATCAGAAGAGAAAAATCCCGAGATCTGACGGTTCCATTGTGAGATCATGCGTTAGATGGCCCTGGGGAGTTGTGCTAGGGTTGCAAGCCAGCTGGGTGCT